GCGAATGCTGGCTGGGGAATTCTGGGAGTTGAAGTCCGGACATCTTTAAGTTGCCAAGGTTGAGAAACACTGGATTAGATGACCTAAAAATAAGTAATTAAAGCCCCGGGAACTCACATTCTCAATAAGAAACTTAAAAATTACTGTGTTTTTTAAAATAAAATAAAAATATAATAATAAAATAAAAATAAAATAATAACATAATAAAATAAAAATAAAATAATAACATAATAAAATAAAAATAAAATAGTAAACTAAACATAAAATAATAAAATGAAAAGAATAATAAAATAAAAATAAAATAGTAAACTAAAAATAAAATAATAATAAAAACCACCATGTTCAGGAGCAGCGTGGCTCAGAGTTTTAGAGAAGGGAAACCTGCTGTTTTTAAAAGCCTAGTGAGATTCCAGACTCTGTTGGCAGTGTGAAACTCAAGAAAAATAACACGCACATGCACGCACCTCACTAAAATGTGGGCGCTCTGCACATGGCCAGAGATGTCATTATTTGCACAAAACTGGAGCTGGGGTTACTGAGATTAGATCTCAAAAACAAAAAAAAACCCACCCCAAAACAATATAAAATCCAGAAAAAGCCATGCTAATAAAGATTGAATGCTCTGAAATAGCTCTGAAATATTAACCACCGTCTCTGTACATGCCCAGAGGTACTGTGCCCAAGCCTTGCCAGCTCACTTGAGAGCAAAATAAAAGGCAGAAAGTGTTCTTCCCCTCCCTCCCTCCCCATTTGCGTCCATCCCATACACTACGATCCAGATACAAAAAAACTAATGACCCAGAGACAAAAAAGAACCTTCGCAGAGGCGAAAAGAAACACTTCCACAACAGAAATTTACCAAAGAAAAAGCATTTTTTTATCCAAGAAAACAAAAGAAGTCTCCATCCATGTGTTCCTTTTTTAATTCCGTTTTGCGGTTATTAACAGCACTGATGCAGCTCGAAACAGGATCAGGTCAAAGTGAGTTAATAGCATCGTTATTCCCAAATCCTACAGGCTCCCCCCCAAAAAATAAAACAGAGAAAACACCATCAAGGAAGATTTTGAAGGCCTGGCTAGAAATTAAAATTAACACTAGCAGCATTAAAAACAAATGGTAAAGTGCATTTCTGGGGAAAAACTTGTTAACCCACAGCGTTTTTAGGGGGTCCACGCTTAACCGATCAATGGCCAAATCCCAAATTGTCAGATTCTCAAAAAATTGGCTGAGCTGGCCAGAAAGATAATGAAATGCCCCCCAACTGAGAACGGTGAGGAAAGGAGGGAGAACCCAGATCCCAATGGGAAGACACTTCAAAAATCACATGGAGGAGGCATGGCGGAGGCAGCTTGAAGATGGGTGGACTTCAACTCCCAGAATTCTCTAGCCAGCTGACTGAGAATTCTGGGAGTTGAAGTCCACACATCTTCAAAATGCCAAGATTGAAAGCCATGGTATTGGAGTGTCTTTCGGTCCAACCTCCCCCCCCCCCCCCCCCCCCAATAATCCCAACTGTGACCTCTGTACAGATTAGACTGGTATAAGCCTCTCTCAGTGCATGCCCCCTTCCAAAACCGATACCTCCTGAGTGGGCCCAGGAGGAAATCATATTATCTGCCGATGTAGGTGTATTTTGGAAACTGAATTTTGAAAAGGGATGGGGCTGGATTGAAAAGGGAGCAACGTCCTTATTTCTCTTCCTAAAACAAAATAATAATTGAAAGGTGCAAGAGACAATTGAAGAAGTTGTGAAAAGGTTCATAAACAAAGGAAGGGCAAAGGGGGGGGGGAATATGGAGAATCAATCAAGAGGTCAAAAATCCATTACAGCTGATTAATTCTATCTATCCTCGTTTGAAGGAGACACAAAATGCCATTGTCTACATTTTTCTCTCGGAATCTTTTTCTTATATTTCATCCGTCTTAACTTCGTGCGTCACTCTCAGTCCACCTGCACACACCCCCTCTAATAAGTTCATTCGTGTTTGAAATCAACTCGGTTAACTTCATAAGGACTAGCCCCTTTAGGAGGCTCCGTTTTAGGGCAAAAGCCACAGGAAAAGACACGGTGATCATAATCAGATCACAGAAATCTGAGGATCAGCACAGAACATTTAATCCACTCGCTACATCACAAGCGCGTTAAGGAGAAGATGGGATTTCAAGGTCGAAGAAACCCAACCAAATATTGTTCCTTGCTTTCCAAAATTCAGAAGCCGAGCTCTGAAATTAGTCTGGGATGCACCAAACGTTTGTCCTATAAATTAGGATAAGATTTCCCTTCGGGAGGAACAGTCTCATTCATTTGTGGCAAGCAGACATCAGGGTTAATTTCATTCCACACCCACTAAAAAAATAATAATATGCAAATTAAGTTGCTATTTCATCGAAAACGAGTCAAGAGATTAGATGCAGGGTTTGGGATACCCCAGCCTACTGTCAGGATTGTCAACGTTCTTCTTACTAAACCCAAAACTGCTAAGATTGCAAGGGCTGGCTATGAGAATAGAAGCGCCCACGTGAGGAGAAAGGGAAACAGGTTTCAAAATTAACTGTGTGCATGGAAGGGACGGGCGCAAAGGGGAACGAGACTTCCAGTGCCCCCCCCCCCCCAAAGTTCCCGTCATCTGGAATTATTTTCCCAATAGCGTGACTGGGAAGGAGAGGGAAACAGCCAGACTCCTGGTGGACTCCCATTTCGGTGGCTTATCTGCTCTGCTGCAAATATTGATGTGTGAACATGTTCAGCTCGCTGTCCAGCCACCCAGCTTTATTCCTGTAGGGGCAGAGAACCAAAGAAAGACCCATATTAGAAAAAAAAAGAAATTACTTATCGCCTTTTAAATGCTAGGTTAAATCCATTCAAGACAGCTTTGCTTAAACTGAGCCGCAAAACCTGAGCATACCAAGTCATTATTAAAATTGAAAATGCCAGGGAACTTTTTCAAATATAGAATCCTGCAGAACAGAATAGAGCTGGAAGGGACTTTGGAGGTCTTCTGGTCCAGCCCCCTGCTCAAGCAGGAGAACCTAGACCAGGGATGTGGGCGTGGCCAGGGTGGGCATGGCCAGCTCGATGTCACTCATGTTGGGGCGCCTGTGGCGGCCCGAGTGCTCTGCCAGTAAAAATGGGTCCCAAGCTCCGTTTTTGGCAGCGGCAACCTCCTGCAACCCTCTGCCAGCAAAAACAGAGCTCGGGAGGGCCGCAACACTCCCGACCTCCGTTTTTGTTGGCAGAGGCACTGTGGGCCAGTCCTTCGCCGTTTCCAGAGCATCCCCGCAGGCCAGAACCAAGCACCCTGCAGGCTGGATCCAGCCCTTGGCCCTTGAGTTTGACACCCCTGCCCTATACCATATAAAGCAGGGGTCACCAACCTTTCGGACCTTCAGGGACTACTAAATTCAAAATCCTGCGGACCACTACATGATTTTTTAAAAAAAGATAAACATATTCTGTGCAATTTTTTAAAAATGCAAATAATTTTTCTGCGGAGCACCAAATTTTTCTCGTGGACCTCCAGTTGGTGACTACTGATATAAAACATTTGTATTTTGATCCCTGTAGGAGAGGGCTTAAAAAAAAGCTTTCTAAAACAGGCACATTCGTAACTATGAACTTAATTATCTGTCAATTTGATTAGGCTTGAAACTATGTTGTCAAGGAATGGCTTGTTTGAGGAGTATCGCCCTCCTCGATTTACTAATGTTTTTAAACGGGATTCTGGATTTAAATAATCTCAAATTAGGTTTGAAAAAGGAAGTGGCTGAAAGGTGACGTTCCCTCACAAAGAATGTCAGCGATGTTTTAATGTAACAAAATGTAATGCAAGAATAAATTTATGAATGGATGGAAACGCCCTGGCAGAACAACGACAACAGAAAAAGATGAATACGTTTTTCTGTTCTTGCCGAGATCATCAAAAATGTGTTGGAAAGTAATGGATCTGATTTACAGGCAGAGTGCAAGACGATGCATCCATTTTATGTAAAGTTAATATTTGCCATGACCATGGAGGTTAAACTCAAAGCCCGGGGACCGGATCTAGCCCATGGGGTGCTTACATCCGGCCCATGCGGCTGGCCTCGAAAGAGCAGCTTGCGGTGCCTCTGCCAGTGAAAATGGAGTTCAGGCCGGGGAGGATGGTCCCCTTGGCTCCATTTTTGCTGGCAGAGGGCTGCAGGAAGCCATCCAGGCTGAAAATGAAGTGCAGGGGGCGCATGGCCACCCTGGGCTCCATTTTTTGCTGGCAGAGGGCTGCAGGAGATTGTCCAGGCTGAAAAAGGGGCATGGGGGTCAGGCAGCCCCAAATGTTTCCCCTTCTGCATTTGAGCATGCAAGAAGGGCCAGGAAAGGAGAAAGGGAAAGACAATGAAAAAGAAGGAAAGATGGGAAGAGAGCAAGGAAGGAAAAATAAGGGAAGGAAGAAGAAAGGAGAAGAGGGAAGGGGAAAAAAAGAAGAAAAGGGAGGAAGGAGGTTATAATGAGAGGGAGGGAGTGTCTGAGGAAAGTCCTGCCTTAGCACTTGGCCCCCACAG